CTCGCTGCTACTCTAGTGACATCCCTACGAGAGAGAGAGAGGCTCTACCTTGGTAAACAACAAACACAACAACAACAACCACAACAACAACCACAACAACCACAACAACAACCACAACAACAACAACAACAACAACAACCACAACAACAACAACAACAACAACACAACAACACAACAACAACCACAACAACAACAACCACAACAACAACCACAACAACCACAACAACAACAACCACAACAACCACAACAACAACCACAACAACAACCACAACAATCACAACAACAACAACCACAACAATCACAACAACAATCACAACAACAACAATCACAACAACAACCACAACAACAATCACAACAACAATCAAAACAACAATCACAACAACCACAACAATCACAACAACAACAATCACAACAACAACAACCACAACAACAACAATCACAACCACAACAACAATCACAACAACAATCACAACCACAACAACAACAACGAGAATTCATCACCTCAGATTTCAGAAAAAGCGTGGAGCGGGCAGCTTCCTGTTACCCCGTGACGTCACGCGGAAGCAGAAAGTGACATGACGTCACTTCCGGGATACAAGCCACGCCCCTCCCACAGATTCAGCAGTGACCATCGCGGAGGTGACGTCACGCACAAGAGCGCGGTGGAGGGGAAAACATTGGTGACATGACGTCACTAGCGAGGTTCACGTCGATGACGTCATGCTGAGTGGAGTTGAAGTTTATTTTGAGTCAATTTCCATTGCTCCATCTCTTGAACAGAGACCCCTTGGGTGGGTGAGCTCAGCAGCTACAATGTTTACATTATTGTGTGTACACAGTGTGTGTGTGTGTGTACACTGTGTGTGTGTATGTGTGTGTGTGTGTACACTGTGTGTGTAGGGTGTGTACACTGTGTGTGTGTACACTGTGTGTGTACACTGTGTGTGTGTGTGTACACTGTGTGTGTACACAGTGAGTGTGTGTGTACACAGTGTGTGTGTGTACACAGTGAGTGTGTGTGTACACTGTGTGTGTGTACACTGTGTGTGTGTACACAGTGAGTGTGTGTACACAGTGAGTGTGTGTAGACTGTGTGTGTATGTGTACATTGTGTGTGTGTAGACTGTGTGTACACAGTGAGTGTGTACACTGTGTGTGTGTACACTGTGAGTGTGTGTGTACATTGTGTGTGTGTACACTGTGTGTGTGTATACACTGTGTGTGTGTGTACACTGTGAGTGTGTGTGTACATTGTGTGTGTGTACACTGTGTGTGTGTATACACTGTGTGTGTGTGTACACAGTGAGTGTGTGTGTACATTGTGTGTGTGTACACTGTGCGTGTGTGTACACTGTGTGTGTGTACACTGTGTGTGTACACACTGTGTGTGTAGACTGTGTTCAGTGTGTACAGTTTGTAGACACTATGTGTGTGTACACAGTGAGTGTGTACACAGTGAGTGTGTACACTGTGTGTGTGTGTGTACACAGTGAGTGTGTACACAGTGAGTGTGTACACTGTGTGTGTGTGTGTACACAGTGAGTGTGTACACAGTGAGTGTGTACACTGTGTGTGTGTGTACACAGTGAGTGTGTACACTGTGTGTGAGTGCACTGTGTGTGTGTACACAGTGAGTGTGTACACACTGTGTGTGTAGACTGTGTAGACACCGTGTGTGTACAGTGTGTGTGTACACAGTGTGTGTACACTGTGTGTAGACTGTTTGTAGACTGTGTGTGTACACACTGTGTGTACGTACACTGTGTGTGTACACACACACTGGTGTGTGTGGTGTGTACACAGGTGTGTGTACACTGTGGTGTGTGTGTACACACTGTGTGTGTACACTGGTGTGTACACACTGTGTGTGTGTACACACACATGTGTGTGGTGTACACACATGTGTGTGTGTACACAGTGTGTGTGTACACTGTGTGTGTGTAGACTGTAGACACTGTGTGTGTGTACACACTGTGTGTGTACACACTGTGTGTGTGTAGACTGTAGACACTGTGTGTGTGTATACACTGTGTGTGTATACACTGTGGTGTGTACACTGTGTGTGTGTATACACTGTGTGTGTAACTGTGTGGTGATACACTGTGTGTGTATACACTGTGTGTGTACACTGTGTGTGTATACACTGTGTGTATACACTGTGTGTGTGTGTATACTGTGACGGAGAATCAAACTCAGGTGGTCTGTTTCATGGCGCACTGTTCTCAGCTTAACGTCAAGATGACATTTTTTATTTCGATGTAAAGCTTTCGTGAGTGCAGGGATTCATCTTCTTGGTTCTTTCGGTAAAGTCACGTAGAAGGGAAGTAATAAAATAATAAAAATTAAACATAATAAAATAATAAACTTTTGATGTAAAGTTTTCGTGACTGCAGGGATTCATCTTCTTGGTTCTTTCGGTAAAGTCACGTAGAAGGGAAATAATAAAATAATAAAAATTAAACATAATAAAATAATAAACTTTTGATGTAAAGCTTTCGTGACTGCAGGGATTCATCTTCTTGGTTCTTTCGGTAAAGACCTGTGCTTGACCTGAGAACGGCTGCTTGCGTTGTGGTCTAAACTTCGTGAGAATTGTATTTTATTATGTTTTATTTTTATTATTTCCCTTCTACGTGACTTTAACGAAAGAACCAAGAAGATGAATCCCTGCAGTCACGAAAGCTTTAAATCGAAATGTATTAAATAACACATTTGGGTCGTTTGTTAGCCCATTACTCTATAATAAAGGGGGGTGTTTTGAGTTAGATCTCATAACCTTTTATGATGTTGACATAGCGAAAACATACGTGTTAAACTCACCCACTAATAGCTCACATTTTTTCCAGAGGTTTTAAAAAAATGTATATTAAATATTATAATACGCTTTAGTTATTTCGGTAAAGTCACGTAGGTAAAAAATGAAATTAAAATTAATAAAAATAAAATAATAAAAATCACGACGTTTCGGAGGCAACACAAGTCTCCGTCATCAGGTGGGACTGTCGTGATTTTTATTTTATTTTTATTTATTTTAATTAAATTTTTTACCTACTTGGTGACTTTACCTAAAGAACTAAAAGTATGAATCCTTGCAGTCACGAAAGCTTCAAATCTAGAAATATTATAATAAACTATTTTTTTATTTGAAGCTTTCGTGACTGCCGGAATCCATACTCTTTAGTTCTGTCGGTAAAGTTACGTGGGTCGAAAATTAAAACTGAAAATTAATAAATCACGACGTTTCGATCGCAAAACAAGTGATCGTCCTCAGGCGGAAACAAGTATAACCCGTTAAAACAAAGTTTTTCACTCTAAATCCTTTATATGCGTGGCGGCTAGAGTCCTCTCGTCCTCTGGTTGAGATGGCTGCCACCTATGGGTCAGATAATTGCATAACACCATTAAGCAATTGGTAATTAAATATGATATTTTTGTCCTAAAAAGTGTCAAATTTTGGAAAAAAAATTTCACGAACATTAATTGTCACGCACAACGAGTCTGTGTAGAAAATGTCAGCTGGATTGGATCACGGGAAGTGGGTTAAAAAAACGACCGCAAGATTTGGACGGTCGTAAGCAAGCAAGCAAGTGAACTTAATATAAAGGATTTAAAAAATCATCCATCAGTGTGATATGTAATTTTTTATTTTTATTTTCTACTTACGTGGCTTTACCCAAAGCACCAAAGAGTATATTATAATAAACCTTTTATGATAAAAATACGATTTTTTTAATAATATATTTTAAAATATATAATATACAGTATTATATAATATTAGGAGCCATCCATTTAGTACGTACGTATGAAGGGGGAGCGGGGATTAACCCAAATGTGTACGCTTGCGTATGTGGGGGTCTACTGACAACGTACACATAGGAAACGGGGGGGGGGGGGATTGAAGCCTCGACGAGATGACGATTTGTCTATATTGGTCTTCAAATGAGCCCACAGTTCAGTGTCTCCAGCGGTCAGACGACAAGTCCTGCCGGGAGAAGTGGAACTGTGGCAGAGACGTCACTTCGTGTGCCACGTGCCCCTGACTGCAGCTGTCACGCAGCTCAGCAACATCAGTGGCCGAGGTACGTAACCTCATTCTTTAATGCAGCCGGCGGTGGACTATCTGTTTGCTTAAACACGTTCATATGATTGATCCTTGCTCGTTTCTGCGTGGATTAAATATCGGCCATTCTATAGGATTCGTGTGTAAAAAGTCCGCGTGCGAACGGGGAGTTGAGGAGGGGTCTCAAGTTTTGACAGATTTTTGCGTACCTACTAAATGGATTGCCCCTTAATGGTTGTTTTATATTTCATATTATAATATTCAATATATAATACACCTTTTTTGTTAATACATTTTTTTTTACATTTGTTTTATATAATATAGTATTTTATTTTAATGGTTATATTACATTTACTATAACATAATGTTTAATATTACATTATAATAAACCATTTTTAAATATAAAAATTATTTATAAGTCTCCACTGAGCTACGTAGCTCTTTTTCAGAAGCGACCTGGCCACAAATGATGGTTCTACGAAGTTGGCTTATCACGTGGAAATGTATTGCAGCCAAATACCGGAGGACCCGGAGAAACATCCACACGATCACGGGGAGAGAGACACACAAACTCCAAATATACAGCAGCAGCAGGCATCGTCAGGGTCAGGATCGAACCCACGAACCTCCTGTATACCAGGCGAGGTAGTTAACATCTCCCAGCCACCACTGCGCCCACTCCTGACGGTGCTCGTTTAGAATCTCAATGCTTGACGTGTGATTACCGACGGCGATGTAAAGAGGGGGAGGCCTCCGTCCATTGCTGTATTGAGATGGTTGTGACGAAGATGATGATTGTGATGATGACGGTGGTGATGGCGGTGGTGATGGTCGTGATGGTTGTGACGAAGATGATGATTGTGATGATGATGATGGTTGGATGATGCGGTGGTGATGGTTGTGACGAAGATGATGGTTGTGATGATGACGATGGTGATGGCGGTGGTGATGGTTGTGACGAAGATGATGGTTGTGATGATGACGGTCGTGATGGTTGTGACGAAGATGATGGTTGTGATGATGACGATGGTGATGGTTGTGACGAAGATGATGGTTGTGATGATGACGATGGTGATGGCGGTGGTGACGGTGGTGATGGTTGTGACGAAGATGATGATTGTGATGATGACGGTGGTGATGGTTGTGACGAAGATGATGGTTGTGATGATGACGATGGTGATGGCGGTGATGGCGGTGGTGATGGTTGTGATGAAGATGATGATTGTGATGATGACGGTGGTGATGGTTGTGACGAAGATGATGGTTGTGATGATGACGGTCGTGATGGTTGTGACGAAGATAATGGTTGTGATGATGACAGTGGTGATGGTTGTGACGAAGATGATGGTTGTGATGATGACGATGGTGATGGCGGTGGTGACGGTGGTGATGGTTGTGACGAAGATGATGGTTGTGATGATGACGGTCGTGATGGTTGTGACGAAGATGATGGTTGTGATGATGACGATGGTGATGGTTGTGACGAAGATGATGGTTGTGATGATGACGATGGTGATGGCGGTGGTGACGGTGGTGATGGTTGTGACGAAGATGATGGTTGTGATGATGACGATGGTGATGGCGGTGGTGATGGTCGTGATGGTTGTGATGATGACGATGATGATGGCGGTGGTGATGGTCGTGATGGTTGTGATGATGACGATGGTGATGGCGGTGGTGACGGTCGTGATGGTTGTGACGGAGGTGATGGTTGTGATGATGACGATGGTGATGGCGGTGGTGATGGTCGTGATGGTTGTGACGGTAGTGGTGTCCGGAGGAGTCGCACAACCGGAGCGCTGTGATGGAGAGCGGCGGCAGAGGGAGAGGAGAGGAGAGAAGAGGAATCCGTGCAGTTGCGGAGACCCTGAGGCAGTTCATCGTCAGGACAAGACTGGATGCAGCTAGACCAGCGCAAGTCCCAGAGGGAGACGGACGGGGCAGACCGGGAGGGCGGGGGGGGAGCAGAGAGTCGTGGGGGAGAGGGAGGCCGGGAGGCAGAGAGACGTCGACGCGAGGCAGAGGTGGTCGGCGGATAGATACTTGTGGGAGTGGGAGGTGGCCGCATCGAGGGTAGAGGGAGTGCGGTTGAACGGAGAATACGTAAACAGGGGACGAGAGGTCACGGAGAGGACGGACGGGAAAGAGAGGGGCGTGGGGGAGGGGCGGTGGCGGGGGTGGGCGGGCAGAGAGAGGAGGAATTGGTGGTGGGGGGGTCAGAGCGGTGGGGCGGTGGAGAGGGCTCCGAGGGGCGCCCCGGCGAGGGAAAGTTTGCAACGGCCAGCGAGGGACGTTGGCCCAGTCGCCAGAGGAGATCAAGGCGGGCGACGGGATGCAGGTGGGAGGCCCTGGAGTTGGTGAGGGAGGGAGGAGGAGGGGGTGAGGAGGGAGGGTGGTCGGCACGACGCTGCGTTACGATCCCGGCAACCTGGGTTCGATTCCATCTCGTGGCCAACAACACCGTCAGTGACGATTATCTGAACCAGTCCTGGGCATCCCCTAGGTCGACTCGTCCTCAAATGAGGACCTGGTGCGGTGTGTCGTGAACATCGCCATAGGGGAGACAAAGGCAGCCGGGCGTGGTGTTGGTCACCCTTCCCCTCATGTGCCGTGCTGGCCTTTATAGGTGCTTGCCAACAGCACTTACCTCAACAGTCTGTTAAGGCTATTCGGGGGGTCTTTGTGAGTGAGTGAGCGAGTGTGTGAGTGAGTTTGTGGGGAGCGGTCGTGTCGAGTTTAGCGCTGCGATATGAATCCGGCGATCCGAGTTCGATTCCCGCTCGTGGCCAACACCGGTGGTGATTTATCTGAGCCAGTCCCGGCGCCTTCCCTAGGTCAACTCGGCCTCAAATGAGGACCTGGTGCAGTGTGTAAACGTCACGACTAGGTGAGACAAAGGCAGCCGGGCGTGGTGCTGGCCACCCATCCCCTCGCGTGCCACAGTGCCGGCCTTCGTAGGTGCTCGCAAAAAGCACTCGCCCCCCAACAGTCTGTTAAGGCTACAAGGAAGTGGGGATCTTTTGTCTTTGTTACCATGTTATTAAAATATCTTCACGTAGATTGTTTTCACTAGGAACCTGAACACACGTGATAGCTTAACGAAGTGGCTTGTCATTATCACGTGAAACTTCACGGTAGCCAAAGAGTCTAAAAGCGTGACATTGATTTTGGAGAGATAAACCGGAGGACCCCTTGAAAAATCCACTTGAGCACGGGGACAGAGAGACGCAAACTCCAAATATACAGCAGGCGCAGGGTCGAGATAGAAACTACGACCTGTATACCAGACGACGTAGTTAACATCTCCTATCCTCCATGATGATGAGAGAGACTGACGCTCAAACTCCAAATATACAGCAGGCGTCAGGGTCGGGATCGAACCCACGAACTCCTGTATACCAGGCGGGGTAGTCGGCATCTCCTAGCCACTATGAACGTTGAGACTTATAAGGGCACGGTGACCAATAAGGTCTGAATCGGTCTGTGATAAGGTAGACACTGATAAGCGGTTGACAACTATGTGAATTGGCACGTTTTGTTTCCATGACATCCTCGGTGGTCTACCGATCTGGCAATTGCCAGCGAAGTTGAGTTCACATTTAATCGGCTTCATTCTTCTGAATTGCATTGTGTTTATTGTTAATAAAGATGGATACACGTGTGTGAATCTAAGGATCTCTAAATTTGTCTACTAGCGGGTAGTATCCGGCATTGCCCGGGGGAAAAATATATTTCATAACTTGTCTTAAAAACATAACATATACATACACAAGTGTAATAAAGGTCGTTGAGACAACTCCTGGAATTCAGTATTTTTTATTAAGTTTCTTTCACAGCTTCTCACTATGTTCCTCTGCTCTATAGCTCCTTCACGCTGTTGGCAGACAACGTGAGAGAGAGGGAGAGAGAGAGAGACTGCCGCAGCCCGCCACGTGGCAGGCTCCGGACGTCCGCACCAGCCACGTGGCTTCCACCTTCGTTCCTCCAAGCTCTGACCACGTGCTGTCCGTCTCTCCCCCTTTCAATCAATGGCCCACATGATGCCTCGCAGCCAATCCTCAGCCACATCCCTGGAACCTTCCAGAGCCCACTCTTTGGCCCCAGGACCACGCCCCTAACTCGACTTCCCATTGGTTGTGGGCTGAGGCCAGCAGAGCCAATCATTATCATCTAGGTGTAACCCATTTATCATCCAGGTGTAACCTCACATTACACAAGTACTAAGCTATTGTGAAAGGCCGGCGTTCCATTTGACTATTTGCCCATCAACAAAATGTAAAGAGGCTTGAAGAAGTCCTGAATTAAAAAGGAATAGAAAGTGGCGGGTAGGTAAATAGTTGATCTAAAAGGTTTCCGAAAATTGTCGACCCCCCCCCACCCCTTCAAAAATGTGTTTTACCCCTCCGTAGGCATATATACCTACACACCCTACATACAATAGAGTGAGAAGTATCTAGTGACTATAGTAGTATCCGGCTCTCCAATAGTATCTGTCTCTACAGACTGTATATTAGTATCTATTGACCCTACAGTAGTATCTACTGACTCTATAGTAGTATCTACTGACTCTATAGTAGTAACTACTAACTCTATAGTAGCATCTGCTAACTCTATATTAGTATATAGTGACGCTGCAGTAGTTTCTACTGACTGCCGTAGTATCTACGGACTCTATAATAGTGTAGTGGGTTCCAGCTGAGTCGCAGACGTTCCTTTTAGAGGCAACACATGTATTTGTAACACGTAACACAAAGGGGTAACTGCCCCTTCACCAGATACAGCTGAGGGTGTTGACCACCTAGCGAACTACACTATACAGAGGAGTTACAGCTACCCTCTCACTCGGGTCTGCGACCACGTGTTGATGCCTCGTAGGACGTAGACCTTCCAGCTTGAGACGTAGAGATTCCAGCTTGTAGAATGCAGCGACCACGGTCCCTCCCAGGAACCCACCTTATATCCCCCCACGGGTCGGGGCTTGGTTCTTAATCGGAGTGAGTGTACTGGCAGTTTACAATGTAGACTGTAGCCTGGTTATTAAATTTGGTGAGTGTACTGGCAGTCTATAATGTAGACTGTAGCATCGCAGCTCGTGGCGATGCGTGTGTATACGAGTGTGCGAAGTGTAGCGGGTAGCGCTACGAACCTGGCGATCCGGGTTCGATTCGCGCTCGCCGGCAAACACCGGTGACGATAATCTGAACCGGTCCTGGGCCTCCCCTAGGTCGACTCAGGCTCAAATGAGTACCTGGTGCAGTGTGTAGTGAACATCGTCACTAGGGAGGCGGCCGGGCGTGGAGTTGGCCACCCACCCCCTCGTGTGCTGTGCCGGCCTTTATAGGTGCTCGCTAACAGCATTTGCCCCCTACAGCCTTCATGCTGCACCGTGTGGCAGCGTCTCCCGGGGCAGCATCCCTGTCAGCTCCTGCGTGTGCACGCGTGTGTGTGAATGTGTGAATGTGTGTGAGTACGTGAAAGTGTGTGTGAGTGTGTGTGTGTCCTGGATGAATGGGTGGTGGTCGCGGGTTGCTGAGGAGATAGAGTCTGCCTCAGTGGCCCGCGATCACAAATCACTACTTAACTCCATCAAAAAAGTAACCTGCAGTGCCACACCTATTACCATCATTAGGTGAGAAAACGGTGATCCAATTTCCGACCCTCAGGAACAGGTTTGCAGATTTGCTGAGCATTTCTGTGAGGTCCTGGGGAAGGGAAATCCCTCAGCCAGGAAAACATCATGGCACAAAGTGGGGATAACCCTGCTGAGGCTGCCGTGCCTCAAATATTGGAAGAGGTCACCCCCTGTGAGTGGCTGGCTGAGGTGCCGTCTGTTGAGGAAGTACTGAAGGCGATCCGGAGTCTGAGACCAGGAAAGGCACCGGGCAGAGATGATCTCCCAAGCGAAATGCTGAGGGAGGGTGGCGTTTGTGCACAGACTGCCCTATATGACATCATAACAACAGTCTGGACCACTGGACGGGTTCTGCAAGATTGGAAGGATGCCCTGGTGGTCCCCCTCTTTAAGAAGGGGGACCGCACAGACTGTAACAACTACAGGGGCATCTCACTCCTCAGTGTGCCGGGAAAGGTCCTGGCAAGGATTATTCAACATCGCCTTGCTAGGCACGCTGAGGAGAGGCTTGCGGAGCCCCAATGCGGTTTCAGGAAAGGGCGGTCCTGCACAGATGCATTTTTTCTGTCCGTCTGCTACAGCAAAGGTGTAGGGAATTCCAAAAAGACCTACATCTCTGCTTTATTGACCTGGTCAAGGCCTATGATACCATCAGTAGGACTGGGCTCTGGGTTGTTCTTCGTGCTTTCGGAGTCCCTGACCCTCTGCTCACGATCATTAAGGACCTTCATGATGGTGAGCGGGCCCGGGTAAAACTACGTGGCCGGGAGTCGGAGCCTTTCCCTGTACACCTTGGGGTGCGACAGGGATGTCCTCTGGCTCCCACATTATTTAACATCTATTTTGACCGCGTAGTTCGTGAAGCCTTCAATAGCTGTACCGGGGGAATTTCCATTTGGTACAGATATAATGGGAGGCTGATCGATGCCCGGGTGCGATCAAGGGATGGCTCCCTATTGGTCAACCACGTTATGTATGCCGATGATTTGGTAATAGCTGCTCATTCAGAAGAGGAGTTGGAGACGCTGCTGCTGAGACTGGAGCGTGCCACTAAGAGGTGGGGCCTTACCATCAGCCCCACCAAAACTAAGCACCTGCCTGGGTATTTTGTACCATCGGACACTCCACCCCCACAACTCCCAATTGGTGATGGGGCAGTTGTGGAGAGAGTGGAGAGTTTCCCATACCTGGGCAGTGTGCTTATGACCGGCTCCAGTTTATCAGCAGAGGTCTCACTCCGAATCAGTCGAGCGGCAATATCTTTTCATCGGTTGCGTAACGCTGTGTGGAAGCTACCTGGTCTGTCGCTCCGCACGAAGCTTCAGGTCTTCTCGGCCACAGTCATTCCCTCCCTTCTCTACGCTTGCGAAAGTTGGACCCCCCTAATGGAGCATCTTCGCCGGTTGGAAACATTTAGGCTGGCCTGCCTACGATCCATCCTGGGTTTAACCAGGCTGGATTGTGTGAGGAGCTCACAAATCCTTGAAAGATCTGGGCAAAGTCCCATCGGTGAGCTCCTCCGGCAGGCAAGGCTGCGTTGGCTGGGTCATGTAGCCCGCATGCCCAGCCACATGCCTAAACAGCTTTTGTTCGGCCGGATCGAGGGGGCTAAACGGGCACGGCACGGGCTAGAGAAGAGATGGAGTGATGTGGTACAGGAGGACGTGGAGCTGAGTGGACTTGCCGATGACTGGTACCAGCAGTGTCAAGATCGGCCTCTGTGGAGGAGGCTCGTGAAGGACTCTACTGGGCAGTTGGAGGCAGTCGCCCTCCAACAACAACGGAGGGCGGAGGAGCGACGCTCACAACAACGAGCGGAGCGCCGGGTGGCTAAAGCACAGCAAGTTGGCACAGTAGGGGGCACAGGTGGTGCATCAGCCAGTCATCTCAGTCATCTTGGTCAGTCGACCCGTGGCACCTGGGTCTGCCCCGTGACCTCCTGCCAGCGGGCATTCGACACTTCACGTGGCCTCAAGGTGCACATGGCCTGGCACAAGCGTCGTGGTGAAGTCACCGCCACTTAGTGGCGAATGGCGATTGTTGTTGTCCGGCAAAACAACCCCCTACCTCGTTCGTGCCGGACAGCAACGCTGTGATGGGCAGTGCCGTGGGGGGAGGGCCAACTTAAATTCGCCATTCCCCTCATGGCGTTTGTAAACACCGCAGCGGCCAAATGGGGGCTCTGGTCAGGTGTGAGGGGCTGGTAATCTCTCCACCTTCAATTCATGACCACAAAGCGACCTGCAAAATATCTAATTCAGCTTGTCCCGGAGGAGCCGTGGGGACAGGCACTTATGACGTCTACTGGCCAAACCCCATTTGGCGGAGCCAGGAGACTGAATCCTTACCCTCGGGGCTCCTCCAGAAACAATAAAAAACCACTGCGGGTGGCCACGTGGAATGTTCGAACGCTCACTGCGGAGGAGAGTATGCCACCCCTCTGTCGGGAGCTGGACCAGTACCGCCTGGATCTCTGTGGTATTCAGGAGGTCCGGTGGACCGGCTCAGGCTCCTGCCACCATGAGGGGTGGACAGTCCTCTTCTCGGGGCATGAGACTGCCAAACAACAGGGTCAGGCTCTTCTGAACAAAACAAGGGGTTGCGGGAGCGTGGTGGTGAGGTGTGGGAAGCTGTAAGCCCCAGGCTACTGTGGGCTCGCCTTCCCATCAACCAGAGGCGAGGAGTGGTGGTCGTGGTTACTTATGCCCCCACTGAAGACGAACATCCGTGGAGGGATGCAGGCAAGGCCGATGAGTCAGATGCCTTCTATGACCTGTCACAGGTGTTAGCTAAAGTGGCCCCTCGGGATAGAGTCATCTTGTTGGGCAACTTCAATGCCCGAGTTGGTCATGATACTGGCACTTGGCCTGCAGTGATTGCACCATAAACTCAACACTGCCCATAGACTCAACACTGCACTATAGACTCAACACTGCCCATAGACTCAACACTGCCCATAGACTCAACACTGCACCATAGACTCAACACTGCCATAGACTCAACACTGCCCATAGACTCAACACTGCCCATAGACTCAACACTGCCCATAGACTCAGCACTGCCCATAGACTCAACACTGCCCATAGACTCAACACTGCCCATAGACTCAACACTGCCCATAGACTCAACACTGCACCATAGACTCAACACTGTCCATAGACTCAACACGTGCCCATAGACTCAACACTGTTACCCATAGACTCAACACTGCTACCCATAGACTCAACACTGCACCATAGACTCAACACTGTTACCCATAGACTCTACACTGCCCATAGACTCAGCACTGCACCATAGACTCAACACGTGCCCATAGACTCAACACGTGCCCATAGACTCAACACTGCACCATAGACTCAACACTGTCCATAGACTCAATACGTGTCCATAGACTCAACACTGCACCATAGACTCAACACTACCCATAGACTCAACATTACACATAGACTCAACACTGCCCATAGACTCAACACGTGCCCACAGACTCAGCACTGCACCATAGACTCAACACTGCACCATAGACTCAACACTGCCCCCCCTGCACCCCCCGCACCCCCCGCACCCCCCTGTACCCCTCCTCCTCACCCAGCAGTAGATAGAGTCTACCCTACGCGATGTTGACTCTAGACGTGGGTATTGCGCAACGCATTCCATGATTGTGAAACTTAAATCCGCACAGCTCAGCGGGAACCATCGACTATTCGCCAGAGTCGAGCCAGCCCTTGGCAAGGGGCGTGTTGAGTCAACAGAGCTGAGTCTACACGGAGCCCTGGACACAGACGCTGCTGCAGTCAAGCTGCTGGGTGCTGGCTGGGTTCTTGCTGGGCAACTGCTGCTCCACCATTGCTGTGGTGCTGGGACTGACACCTCACCAGGCAAGCCTCTCATCACCACCACCTCCACCTCCTGCTGTGTGGGTGAGTGAGCGAGCGAGTGGGGGGTGAGTGTGTGCGTGTAGGCCCCGGCAAGGTGGAGGTTAAAGGGAAAAGCAGCGATTCTAGATTTGAAGTTTTCGTGACTGCAAGGGTTCATACTCTTAGCGGGTTGTTTTTCGGTAAAGTCGCGTCGGTAAAAAAGTAAAAAAAATAAAAATACATCGACTTATTTTCACGTATTATTATTTTACTTTTCTTATTTAACCTACGTGACTTTACCGAAAAAAACCTAAGAGTAAGAAAAACAATGAGCCTACTTTTACCCTTACCCTATACAAATTATCCGATTACAGGGTAATGACTTGGGTACTACTACACGTGAACAAGGTGTATAGTGGTTCATGGTAATTACTGGGGTACTACTACCCATGAACAATGTTTATAACGGTAAATGCTGTAAGGTAGAGCACTTTATTCATATAGAATACTCTCCATGATTCCAATTTTACACGCTGTCTTGTCGTTGTTGTCGTTGTTGTTGTATCCTCAAATCTTGTAACTCAATTTTAACCCACTTCCCAATGTGGTATCGACTGCAAACTTGGTATACTTATTTCATAGTGATGACAACACTGTCCATAGACTCAGCACTGCCCATTGACTCAACACTGCACCATAGACTCAACACTGCACCATAGACTCAACACTGCCCACAGACTCAACACTGCCCACAGACTCAACACTGCCCACAGACTCAACACTGCACCAGTAGGAGTATAAAAACTATTTCAAAAGTCACCTTTAAAGATCTAAGATGGAAAGCTCTGAAATCAGCTCGTATGCAGGTGCTCCGTGAATTGTTGCATTGCAAGAAAATGTGATGATGACAGCTTGGAGAGGCCTCCATCCAGCATTGGATTTAATTTTGGTTGACAATGATGATGAACATGAATCTCTCACTCGGCTTTGCCGCCTGTTTACATAAAAGACTCACCTGAGCTGTATCGCCACTAGGTGGCACCATATTACAATTTACTCCAATTCTGGCAACATGTTCAGGAGATACATGAAAACGTCGAGGTCTGCTAGCCAGAAGAGGGCTTCGGGAGAGAGTTGGTGTAGCTTTGTTATTCCTTCATTGCAGGAACGAAGACTACAGTGGTTTACTAGATGGTTTACTGTATTTACCGGGTAAGGTTGCCCTTTGAGTTTATTGCCGACGCAACTCAACAACTTAAGCAAGATAAGCGGACTTCCTCACTGCTTGGAACGTGAACCAACGCTCACGGACGGCGCAGTAACAAGGATATGCCCTCGCGGCTAGGAACGGAAACGCACCATCCCTGCAGATCATTGCCAAAAACCTCGACTGCCGCTGGGACATCCCAAACAAATACAATCTCGGTTGGAATGTTTCCATGAAAGCAAACCGTCCTGGATTGTTTAAAACTGTTTCCAAAGACCGGCATAAATGTTGCATTTCTCTGTTAAATGTTCATCATTCATCTCCTCTGGTTCGTGATGGCAGACTACTCGCGCTGTGACACACTGGGTGGGTGTGGCAGGACAAAGTGGCAAGCGAGTGGAGCAGAGGGAACGCCAACTAGTTTCCCTTGCCAAATGAATCTCACCAAAAAACGCACACAGAGTTGTAATGTTCGGGCCTTTAATAACCCTTGAACAAGATCAAGATGTACGTCTTGTTTGGGGCGATGTGTCAGTGGTAAAGGTCACAAGGCTATCACAATTTGTTCAACGAATTGTGCAACGCAACAGTAAATTCCTCTCCACTTAGTGCAACAAGTGAAGGATAATTTATTCCATCACGCGGTAATATTTAACTCTTAGGTTATTTCCTTGTTGCCGTTGTTGTGATGGGAATTGAACAGAAACACATTCCTGCGGAGGGAGCTGCTAGGAACTTTGGGTTGCTCGGTCAATGTCCAGGGTCAACGGCGGCGTGGTGTATTCCGCAAATATGCCCGACTGTGAGGGAGGGCACAAGCCGGCGTGAGTAGGTGAAACGTTGAGTTTTAGAAGGGCACCACGGGGTGACCAGCCCCTCCCCACCCAGCCCCACCCTCCCCACCCAGCCCCTCCCTCCCCACCCAGCCCCACCCCTCCCACCCCCCACCCAGCCCCACCCTCCCCACCCAGCCCCTCCCCACCCTCC